GAGTTCTGTTTTTCGGCCCCTAAGGGCATGCTCTTTTTTTGGGGGGGGGTTGGGGGCCATGTCGGGACGGCCTCGGAGTTTCAGTGGGCCGTCGTGGACAAAACAATGGGGCAACCGTGAATGCAAACATGAAGGTTTTACACTGTCTTGGGCTGGCCCCCCGGGCTTCAAGATGTACCCAGAGATTCTCAAGAAAGTCCCAGGACGGGCGCATGGGGCTATCTTGCGGCTCGGATGTGTTCAGGGTCGGTTTCGCAGACTCCTGAGATGCAGAGGCTGTGTGGTATCGGACGGCTCTCGTGATTGGTCGCTTCGACAAAGGATCTTCCGTTTTTTGTTTGCGACGTTCGCATTCACCTCTCGATTTGACGGTCGTGGCTGCGTGCCGCGCGTAAGGAATAGCGCGCCGGATGCTTCGCAATCGCGTTTCCAATGCTAGGGTGCTGGTGGGACTGCCCTGATACAAGTTGATCGTTTAAAGTTGATGTGCGACGCCAATCGGCTTTTGATTTGTGGCACATCGGCACCTGGTACGCGACGTTGCCGCGTCAGGACTTGAACGATGCGCTGCTCGACTTCTTTGTCAAGCCCGACACCCCGCCGCTTGCTGACTGCCTCTCTTCGCTATGAGGGGACAGAGTCCCGAGGGAAAGGGATCCTGGACCGAGGGGCTTTCACCCCGAGCCCTTTTTTTGATGGTTCCCAGGGCCCGTGGACAGCTCCGGGGGCCCGAGATCGCACAACACCTTCCAGGACCCGTTTCCTCGAGCGCCCGTTTCACTCATGCAAGTCCCTTCCACCAGCGTGAAGCGACCGATATTTGTACTGTTGAGCCTCGTCCGCGGCCGCCCCCAGCGACGGAGAGAAGGAGCAGAAGGAGCTCGGCCAGAGGGAGGAGCGTGAAGAGGAAGGGAGGAGAAGGCGGAGGAGGAGGAGGAGGAGGAGGAGGAGGAGGAGGAGGAGGAGGAGGAGGAGGAGGAGGGAGGAGGAGGAGGAGGCGGAGAGGAAGAGGAAGAGGAAGAGGAAGAGGATGAGGATGAGGATGAGGAGGAGGAGGAGGAGTGAGGAGGAGGAAGAAGGAGGTAGGAGGAGGGGAGAGGAGGAGGAGGAGGAGGGACGAGGAGGAGGAGGAGGAGGAGGAGGAGGAGGAGGTGGAGGAGGAGGAGGAGGAGAGGAAGGAGGGAGGAGGAGAGGAGGAGGAGGAGGAGGAGGAGAGGGATGGAGGAGGAGGAGGAGGAGGAGGGGAGGAGGAGGAGGAGGAGGGAGGAGGAAGGAGGAGGAGGAGGAGGAGGAGGAGGTGGAGGAGAGGAGGAGGAGGAGGGAGGGGAGGAGGGAGGAGGAGGTGGAGGAGGAGGAGAGAGGAGGAGCAGGAGGGGAGAGGAGGAGGAGAAGGAGGCGGAGGAGGAGGAGGGGGAAGAGGAGGAGGAGGAGGAGGAGGAGGAGGAGGAGGAGGAGGAGGAGGAGGAGGAGGAGGAGGAGGAGGAGGAGGAGGAGGAGGATGAGGAGAAGGAGGAGGAGGGGGACGATGGGGAGGCCGAGAGTGGGAGGGGGACGAGCGAGGTGTGCCCTCTCACACAACTGGCAACGTTTGAGCACTTGCCAGCACCCAGAGATGGTGGGGTCCTGTTTTAATATGCATAGCCCTTCCTTCCGTTGGACCCCGAGGACCTCACGCAAGTGGCGACAGTTGCGCAGTTGGCAGCACCCAGGGGGTCCCGGATAGCCCGAAACTGTCTAAGCCCCTGTGCTGTTTCCAACTGTTTGGCATGGTCGGCTCTTCGTCTCAACACGAAGTCAAGATGGCTGCAAGGGGCTCCAAGACCGCCCAAGAGAAATCCAAATACCACCCGCTCTGGCCCAGAAGGCCCAAGAAGGCCACAGGCCCCCCCGCTGATCAAACCAGGTAGCTGCAACTAGCACGAGGAAACGCGCAGCGCAGAGAAGGAGGGACCCTCCAGAGGTTACAATAACAGCTAGGTCCCCCAGCAGCCCCTCTCATCCTCCTCATCATCCTCCTCATCGTCCTCCTCCCCCCCTCCCTCCCAGTGGGTCGCTGAGATGGCGAGATTTATCAGTTCACGCATCGAGAGGCGCATGATGAGGGATGCCACGAGGTTGGCTTCACGTAAGCCTCAACCAAGGGTCGCTGTTACAATGGGTTTATGTCAACAACGATGTCGTTGTCACCGATCACATGCCGTTCCTCCTCGTCCTCTCCGCCGTCCTGTGTCCCCTCGTGGTCATGATGCTGGTCTTTGCCCATGCTGTCACGCTCCTCGTATTTATATTAGCCCTCTGTCTCCTCCTCCCTTTCCGCCTCTTCCCCGCTGTCGTCCTTCTGTCTTGACACTTCTTTTCCTCTCCTTCGGCGTCATCTAGAACAGGTCCCATCGGACGTGCACTGCGCAGGTCCTCATGTAGCGATCGCATGGGAACAGCTCCATTCAAGTATTCATTGGTCTTGGATGGGCCCTCTGGTATTACCGCGCGTTGACTTGTGTTTTGTTGTTTGTGCGTATGCGCATATTTGCGCGCGTGCTCGTATATACATGTGTGCATACATGTGTATATATACATATGTATATGCACATACACATGTATTTTTGCATGCGAGCCAATGAATAGTCAGAAACCCTTCCACACGAAGCACTCCGCGCGGAGACTTCCTGCAGCATCCGCAACCCTCACTCAGTCATCCTTCATCCTTGGGGCTCCCGGTGGCCGGCTCTTGGCTCCTGGCTTGTCGTTTTCTCCTTCCCCCTTGCCTCCTCCCTCTTCCCTTCTCCCTTTCCCCTTTTCCTCGTTCTCCTTCTTTCCCTCCCTCCTTTCCCGTCCTTTCCCGCTTTCTCTCGTGCTTCCGTGTGCCAACACGCAGGTGCATCCTCCTCTCGGCCCGACGTCTGCGGCTGTTTGGGCTCGGGCCCTCGGCCGATTTTGGGCAGCGGTTGGGCGCAGATGCTTGCCCTTGGGCCGTGCGTCTTCGACGCCGCGTGGCGGCGTGTCAGCAATGTCGTAGGCCTAGAGATTGACACCAACACCAATTTCGGCGGTGTGCCTCCACCGGGGGAAGAAGATCCCGATGTCGGTGATGGTGGTAATATTCTGGCTTCCAAGGTGGCCGAACTATTACCACCAACGCCGAAAATCTAGGATCATCTTCCCCCTGTGGACACAACCCTCTGTCTTGGTGTTGGTGCCAATTTCCAGGCTTCCGACAAGGTACTGCATGGGTATGGGCTCCTCGGCACGCGTCTGGCGATGCAGGCGGACGGGCCTGCGTTCGAGCAAACGTTCGTGCGAGTGGCAGCGGCCGCGGTCCTCAGTGCGGTGGAGGCCCGGATCCCGCTGTAGGAGTTCGTCAACCAGGCGGTGGGCTATGTGCGTTCCACGGCCGCCCCGAGCAAACCATGCTGGAGGACGTCGTGGTGAGCCTTGTGAGGGGGTGTGGTGTGAGAAGGAACGGCATGAGACCGTTCCCCCGCCAGCGGCCGGCGCGATGGCAGGGACCCGCTATGCGCGGAAGTGCCGCGCCGCTGCTGGGGAGAGTCGTGGTTCAAGGCCCGCGAGTGGACTCGCTGGAGGCCTCGCCTGTTCCGGCTGCTCGGCGAGATGGATGCGCCCTCGCTGGCAATGGCGCGGTCCTGCATGGGCCGGGAGCGGGTGCTGGACGGTATCACAGGCCGCGTGCGCGTCTCCACACGGTGAGGTTGTACATGTGTGCAGGCGAATCGCTGCGACGAGGGCTCCTGCGCGCGCGGCGCTTTGTGGCCGGAAATTGTTGTGCACATGATCGATTGTCTACGTGCACGCCAGGGCTGCCGAGCCTTCTGGGCCAGATTGCGGCGCGGGTCTTCTGGTCGACGCCCTGCCGATCTGCTTCGCTGGGTCGCTGATATGACCGCTGCGCAAATTTGCTTGGCAGCGTTTATTCTCTGCGCTTCACTGTCTAACGTCGCTTTGGCAATTCAGTGGCCGCAGTGAGCCTCTGGTTGTCGCGCTTCAATCTACGTTAAGTTGAATGCTCTCCTCGTTTCCTGCCAGCGGCGCGTGCTTTTGGATGTGCAGTTCCCCTGGCCCACTCATCGCTTGCACGTTCAAGTGCGCGACGCTTGTGCGCTGCGTTATCGAGAATGCTCGGTCGCAGTTAGCACTTCCACCTGCAGCTTGCGCCTGAGGGCCCTCTGCGCCGCTGACTTTTTAAAAAGGTATCTGTGTCCCAAACGAGGATTGGTGTCCCTCGCGTTGGGGTTAGCCCTGTGGGGGGTGGGTGGGGCTTCGGGGCCGCGCGGCGCGTCCTCTCCTTTGCTGGGTCGGGCCTGCTGGATTGCAGCGCGATCGGGGGCCCTTTGCTCAAGCCGCCCCGCGCAGTCAGGACCGAGGCTAGTATGGGCTCCTGTGGCCCGTCCTCGGCGTCGCCATCGCGACCCGCGATCGAGGGGCGGCTCGACGGCGTGCCGCTGCGGGCGCGCGCTCGCATTGCCGAGCTCGGACTAATCTTTTTCGCAAAAGAGGGCGTGTCGCTGGGCGCGCAGGCGCAGCGCGTCTATGGCATGGCGAACCCGGGCAAGTTCTCCGCTCGAATGAACTCGTGCCGGGAGGTCAGGGATATCACCGGAGAGCAGCGCGCCTTCGACGCGTCGACCAGGGTAGGTCGCAGCGCTGTTGCGCGCCTGGCAGGCGGCGCGCGCGAGGATCCAGCAGCAGCGGCAGCGCAAGATGGACGGCGACCGCTGAGCGTCGCCGACCACCGACCGACGAAGCGGGCGTTCGATGGGGGCCCATTGGAATCTCGAGGATGACCAGGTACCAGCAGCTTCTTACCTCGAGGCCAGGCAGACTGACATCGAGCGCAGTGACATCATGGCAGAGGCGCCTGCGTTGATCTGCTCAGCCGAGGAAGTCGAGGATCGCGACCTCCTGGCGCCAGTTTTGGTCCAGCTCAGGGGCAATGTAGTTCCAGGGGGCGGCGGCCGTCGAGGTCGAACCTCCGCTGGGCCCAGGGGCGCTGCGAAAGTGCATCGGGCTGATGAGCGCGCGGACCCTCGTGCTCGGCCAGTGCCGCGCCGGCGGGCAGGAGCTGCGAGGCTGCAGCCCACGACCGTTCCAGTCGTATTTGGATCACCTGCTCGGGCTGCATTGCATCCGCGCGGGGACCTGGCAGCCGCTGCAGCAAGCCCGCCCGCGGTTTCGCGCAGCGCCCCAGCGGGCGACCGAAGGTCCAGTGGCCGAGGGGCGCTACGTCGCGACGCCGCTGGCCTCTGCCTTCCTGGCGGCGCGCCATTGACCCCAGACGCCGCAGCAGTCGCAGCCGCCGTAGTTGCGGGCGCGGACACTCCGCGACAGTCTGCCGAAGGAAGCAGGCGAGGGCGGCGCGGGCAACGGGGGCCGGCGCGGCGCGTGCCAGGCCGCGCCTTGTCAGGGCAGGCCGTGCCAGTGCGCGAACGGCCAGGGCCAGGCGCCGGGCGGCGGGAAGATCTGCGCCGCGCGCAATTCCAATGTGGCCAGGTGTGGCCCGGAGAAACGCCGTTTCCACCGCGTGTGCTCGCTCTGCCTTGCGCGAGGCCACCCGCGACGCGAGTGCAAGGGGGCCGCCCGCGGGGCCGACTCGCGGGTGGAGGCTCTCGCCAGAGTCCCCGCGGCGCCCATTCCAATCCAGGGCGCGCCGAGGGGGGGGGCGGCCGTGGCATGCGGCGCTGGCGCCGGGGCCTCGGCGGCGTCGGCGCAGGGCCAGGGGGCCGCGCCCCCCGCTGGCGCTGCCAGCGGGCGCAGGGCCAGCGGCCCCGCGCAACCGACCCCCCGGGGGTCGAGGCGCTCCGTGCTGCCGGGGGAGCCCGCGCCCTCCGTGGTGCTAAGCGAGCCGCCTCCGCGACGCGGGCCGCGGCGGGTCTCCAAGCCGCGGCCTTCCACCGGGGCATCTTTGGCACGCCGTGCCCAAAGCCGTCGCGCCTCATCGGTCGGCCTCCGGGCGCAGACGCAGACTCAGACGCGAACGGCGAGTCCCTGGGGCCGCTGCTGCCGCTCCCTGCAGGATTTAAATCGCTGGGGCGCAGCAGGGGCGACACCCCGTTCAAGACCGCAGGCGCCGCGGCTTGGCCCCCGCAACTATGCTGGTGGATGGCGCAGGGCATCGGCCAATTGGCCGAGCGGCTCACCGCCCCAACGTGGGGGGGATCCCACCTGAAGCCGCTCGGTGAGCTCGTGCGCGGTGCAGGGCGGGGGCTCGGGGGCGCCGAGAAGGGTCGCCCACGCGGTGCAGGCTAGGCGCTCGGGGGCGCCGAGGAGGCCCCCCGCCCCGCGGAGAGCGGCCCGCTCTGCGAAGGCGATGTCTACATCGGCAGGGGCAGTAGCAAGAATGCCCCGTCGAGCACATTGGGCAATCCCTTGTTCGTCGAGCGCTTTGGCAGGGACGGCGCCATCGCGGCCTTTGCGTGCTGGCTCCCGACGCGGACAGACCTGGGCGTGGCGCTTTCGGAACTCGACGGCAGCGTCCCAGGTGTCGCTGCGACCCGCGTTCCGACTGCCATGCGGACGCCGTCGTCGCAGCGTGTCGAGCAGGAAAGGAGCGCGCGCCCTCGAGGCCTCCTGGCCACTTCGGAGGCGCGGGGCCGCCACGCAGCTGCGAGTTTATAGAGGGCCCGAAAGGCTTCCGCGACGGCGAGGTCCCTCTTTCGCTTGGCCGTTGGGGCCAGGACCTATGGGAATCCCCAAATTGGCCCGTCTGTAGGACCGAGCTCTTCGAGAAGATCGCGCAGGCCATGGGGTAGCTGGGCGGCTGGACAGCGGGGGGGCGCGCCCCGCGCGAGCTGGCGGGCCAGGCGGGCCCGGCCAGGGCCGGCCCGAGCAAGCCATCATACCTCGTTAAGATGGAGATCTTCGAGGCCGCCAGAAGGGTCCTCGAAGGCTGGCTTTGAGCAGGGGGCCGAGTGGGCTACGGCGACGACGTGTGCCGCGTCGCAGCGGGGCAGCCGCCTGCCAGCCGCATTCCTGCGCGGATTATGGGGCCCAGAAACATATTTGATGCGCGGGCGGGGGGCAGGGGTCACAGCGAGTATCTTGTGCGAGATGCCCCGGCAGGAAGTGCTCTTCGAGGAGCTCGCGGAGTCGCGCCTCGACCAGGGGGCGGGCAGCTGCGCCGCCCCAGAATCAGCCAACTACAGCAGCTCGGTGGACCGCGGCGGCTGGCTTCGGGGACGCTCGGCGGACGAGGTGACGTCGCGCAGGATGGTCAAGATATCCATGGGGCAGCTGCGCAGCCGCTTCCACGGCAACTGTGCCATGGCAGCGTTGTCGGTCCTAGAGAGCGCGAGCGGCAAGAAACGACTCGTGCACGACGGCGCGGGCGAAGGCGCTGTGAACGATGAGATGGAGGAGCCGCCGGTCGAGGCCCCCAGATAATAATTACCTTGCGAGGTGCTGCGGAACATGGCGCGCATTGATCTCTTCGCTCGTCACCGCCTCATCGGGATCAGCGGGGGCGAGTTGGGAATGTTGGCCTGCGAGTTTGTTGGCGAGATGTGCTGCAACACCTTCGGTGCCTCCGGAGGGGTGGGCTAGGCTGTTCGGCGCCGTGCTGCGGGCGATCTTCTGCTTGCTGCGCAGCGACGGGCCCGTGGGGCAGCTTGCCTTTGCCGACGGACTGGGGGCGATCGGCTTAGGGCGCCGCGGGAGATTGACCGCCCCCTTCATGGTCATCCTTCTCAGCGTCTTCGACTTCCCAGTGCAGAGAGCCAAGGCGCGGGGTGGCCTCGGGGTGGATTGGATTGGCCGCCGCTGCGATTGCGTCACCAACATCGTGGGCCTCTGGAAGGCGAGGGCCAAGTGAGTGACAGACTGGTGCCTGGAGATGGTCGGGCGCCGCGCTGTCCGCGCGTGCGAGATTGCGTCGGGCGTGGGGCGCCCGGGCTTTGCAGCGATGGTCTTCGTCTGGGAGAAGCCGTTCGAGGGGCTCGCGCGCGCCTGGCTCGTCCGCGTCGTGAGGGCAGTCAAGGGGAAGGTCTCCTTGCCCTGGGCGGTCGGGCTCGCGCTGACGTGGATGGGCAAGTGGCTGGCTGGAGGGCGGAGACTGCATGTGCCCATTATGTTCGAGACCGAGAGCGCTGGGCATTTCCGTTTGGGCGCGAAGGCAGAGGTGGGGCGCTGCCGGATAGGCTGCTAGGCTAGTGCCGCCTGGAATTGGCGCCTGAGGAGCCCGCTCGTGCGCGCCGGAGGTGGGGGTGGTCTGGTTTCCATGGGCGTGGGCCAAGGCAGCCAGCCCGAGCAGGGCCATTGCGGCGCGGGGGCCCCTCGGCGCGATCTTCCGCGTGATGCTCTTCTCGAGGCCCGAGGGGCCCCGCCAAAGGGCGGGCGTCAAGACGGCGGGGTCGCGTGACAACCTGGGGGGCGCCCGCGGTGTCCAGCGGCGCGTCGACCAAGTGGCCTTTGACGGTTCTCCTCATCGATCTCTCGGAGGAGCCGAGGACGCGCGAGATGGCGCTGGGTTTGGACTGGCCCCCGCGCGAGGAGAATGAGGAAGCGCGCGACCTGGGCAACGTGCAGGCGACAGATTCTGACGAGCCCCTCAGGATTCACGTGGCGGCCGCGGATCTGAAGTGGCACGTGCTCGACGAGGTGATGCAGGCCCCCCAGGACTTATTCGGCGCGATCGTCGAGGAGAGGGCGGCCGCAGCGGGGGGCCCCCGCGGGCACCGCCGGCGACGTGTGCGACCGGAGCCGCGGTGACAGCTCCGCTCGGGTACGCCCGAGACAGCGTCGTACAGGCGGAGCCCGATTGAGACGGGCGTCAGCAGCGTCGGGGTCCCGCTCGACCCTTCGGGGCGCGGGCCCGACCGCGACGTCGTGCGCGCGGAGTTGGATTGCGAAGAGCGTCGGCAGCGTCGGGTCGGGGTCCCGCGCGACCCGTCGCTGCGGGGGCTCGACCGCGGGGTGATGGCGGGCCTTCGGGATAGTCAATTGAACCCCCACCCTCCGGCGGGCGCCGCCGCAGCGGGGGCCCCCCTGCCCCCTTCCTGCCTGTGCGCCCCATTCTTCCTCTGCGGGCGGGGGTGGGGCTCCAGGGCGGAAGGGGCGCCCCGATCGCGGCGGGCCTTGTGGGGGGCGGGTGGGGCTTCGAGGCCGCGCCCGCGCTGCGCTCTTGCGCGCGTGCGGTTCGGCGTGGGCGTTGCAAGTGGGCGAGGTGAGGCGGGCCTCCCCCCTCGGCCTAGGTGGCCTGCCTTGCCCTGGCTGCCCGCCTGGGGTGGGCGGCGCCCCGCCTGGGGCGGGCGGCGCCCCCCGCGGGGTCGGGTAAAGGGGGGGGGGGGGGGCTAGTCCGCGGCGTGGGAGGCCCCGGGCGCTCGCAGCGTCCAAGGGGGGGTGGGGGGGGCAGGGGGGGGGGGGGGGGGGGGAGGGTCCGCTTCCTCACCTCGGGGTCTCCTTTCCTTCCTGGTGCCTCGCTCCCACTGCGTGGGGGGCCATTGAGTTCCTGGGAGTGGCAGGGGCCCTGCGCCGGGGGGGCCCTCAGATCCGCCGCTCGTGAAAAAGGGGAGTCTCCGCCATCCCATGCCCCGCTTTTGCACCCGTCGCACGGGCTCATCGAGCATGCGCCCCCGTGTCCCAACGCGTAAGTGAATCGTGCTCTTTGCCCGGCGTCTGTAGCGATTTGGGTTCAGGCGCTCGGCCGATTTTGTACAATCCACCCGCCACCCTTGGGTATCAATTTCCTGGGAGTGGCAGGGGCCCTGCGCCAGGGCCCCTGGATCCGCCACCCGCGATAGAGGCACAGCTGTCATCCCCTGCCCCGTGGACAGCCATCGCACCGCTATTATCACTCATCGAGGCCATCTTCTCCGTTCTCCTTCCTGCCTCTTCCTTCCCCCTGGCTCCTGGCCTGTGGCCTCTGCCTCCCCCCTCCTCCCTGTCGGCGTCATCGTGGGCAATGCATGCATATCTCAGCTTCGCCCTCGTGGTCCTGCTTTCCTGTTTCTCTCCCTCTTGGTCCTCACTTGTGGAGGTGGCGCTGCCCGACCCCTCGTGTTCGGGGCCGACACAAACGTCCTAAAGCGGCGAATGCGTCAGTGAGGGGAAGTTAGGAATAACGGGGGAAGGTGGGTAGGGGGTGGAGGAGAAAACGGAGGAGGAAAAAAGGAGGATACACATAATTTGGATGGAGTCCTTTTTCCCTTTTCCTCCAGCGTCGATTTTCCCACAGTCGTCCCTTTTCCTGCGTTCGTCGTTTCACCTCCTCCCGCCACCATCCGCTTCTTCCCTCCCCCGTCCTCCTTCCACCCCTCCCTCTGCTTTGTTTCTCCGAGACGCCCCGGGCCCCATGATGTTTGTTTGCATCACCCAGAACCGTCACAGCCCATTCTGGAGGCATTCGACGGGTGTGGCATGACAGGGGACATGGATATGCTAACATCCACAGGTTCCGCACTGGCGCTACACTTCTTTACGCCGAACCCTTCTCCTACCTCCAGACCCATGGGGGCCTCTGACGCCTCCGCGTCCCCCCCCCCCCCAGCCCGCCTTTTCGGCCCGTCCGCGCTCACGCCTCCACCGCCGAGGCTTGGGCAAGCCCTGCTTCCTCCCGGAGGTGGCGCCGGGGAAGCCCGGGGGCGGCCGGCGGAGGGCTTTGGG